ATTTACTAGTAGGTAAACACATATAGAACTGCATTGCACTATGAAATCCTGACCACAGGAGAATGTGCCAATGCGTTGTATGCTGTGGGATTTATTTCTGGTTAAACATGCATAGGACTTTGTTGCACCTTTGAATTCCAGCAGCTATGTTCATGTAGAATTCCATTTCTAAGTGCTAACTTCCCATTCAGATCCTGAGGGCCACTTATTCTCATCCTACAAACCCAACTCATTTTTTTATTTGAAGAGTATAAGTTACTGGCACTTTTTAAAAAGGAAATGCCAACATGGCCAAATCAACTTAGATTTTAATCCTTAATTTAATTGTGGGCTTTTAGGCTGATTTTTTTTAAAAAAAAACAAAACATGGAGCTTTAGTTAAATCTCAATATGAATAAATTTCAACAGCAATGTTGGGTCATAGAAATTAGAAATCCTTTTGGCAGGATGGGCAGAAGACTGTTCTGGATCTAAATCTTTGGAGCAAGAGACTGCCATTGAATGCTGGCAGAGCAGAATATTCCCCCAGAGCCGTTCCATGTGATCTCTTTGCTTGCCATTACAGATGCTGAGATCACCCATTTCAGTGAATGCATGTAAGGAGGTCCTGGATGTCTCCTTGGTTAAGGGCCAACAATGAGGACCACTTGTGTTGTGCTCATCATGCAAGACATTTGAGGCCCATTGGATCCTGACCTGTAAAATTTGCAGCAGACCGGCAAAGATTTCTGAATCCCAGCTAATAACTGTGGTGGTTAAAAAAAGGGATTCATTTCTCATCCACAGTTATACCAATGGACTGAAAAAAGTTGGGAGTAACCTAAAGAGTGTTTTTTTGTGGAATATAAAACCTCTTTTTTTTAAAAAAAATAGACTTTTTAATTCTGTGTTTTCTCCACCAGACTGCGTTTGTTTGTTTTCTAAAATTATCTGCTTTATTATTTTAGTTATTTGCTCTATAACACTTCTCTAATAGTCCCATGGAATGCTATGGATAGAAACCAGGTGAAAATTCTCATCTATAATGTTCTGGAAGATTTTGTAGGCAATTTTTCTTTTACACTGCATTGTGTAAAATAAATGTTTTGACTGCCTCTTTTTTGGGGGGCGGGGGGGTTAGGCTGAAACAGACTGACAGGACTACCTCTTTGAAAATGGAAACAGGTAACAGTTTGGATTCTTTCCTATCAAAGACAGATACAGAAATTCATTGGCCAGAATGCTGCTGGTGCTTTATGTCTGCATAAGTTAGATTGAGTAACTCAGTGTGGCACAGCCTTGTAAAGAGATTGGCACCTCGTTAGTTGTTGACAATTTCTGCAGGGAGTTTCACGATTTAACTAACACACATAAATCACCTATAGCAGTGATTCCAAACCTTGGGCAATCCAGGTGTTCTTGGACTGCAACTCCCAGAAACCCCAGCTAGCACAACTGGCGGGTGAAGGCTCCTGGGAGTTGCAGTCCAGGAACAGCCAGGTTACCTAAGGCTGAGAACCACTGATCTACAAGGATTCTGGCCATTGTTGAATTGTTCACCACAACCCCCAAATCCTTCTTTTGTGAATTAGGGCACTTCCAAATGAGACTTTTCCTATACACAACACTTAATTAAGTGGAAGTTTAAAAGACACCCAGACATTGGTGCCTTCAATGAGCAATGTGTTCCACGTTTCCCTATTGTTTATTTCCCCTCTTTTCAGTGAAAATCTCTTAAGGCAAAAAAGGATGGAATAGCTGCACTCTGCCTTTTAATTGCGAGTGGAAGGAGCCCTCTGGGCATTTCTCAACTGAGGGCTCCTCACGCTAGCAATTAGAAAGAACTGCGCAACTACCCTGTTTCTCTCCCCCCCCCCTTAAAGGATTTTCCATGGTAAGGAAAGAAAAAAAAAAGGCAGAGGAAGTAATGGAAAAAACAAGGGAAGGTTAGGAGAGGAAGATGTCCTTGTCAGCAGCCCTTGCAAAATGCGGTGCGATGCTGTGATTAAAAACCTGATCTGAAAACTGGTCTCACTGTGGAAGCGTCTGCTGGTTTCCTATTTTTTTCCCCTGCCTTCGGGCCTTTCAAAGCTGGGCAAATCCATGGTGTGCGTGTGTTAGAGAGGTTGACACATAATTGATCAGTCCCGCACGGAGATCTTTTAAAGCCATTAATAAACGGGCCGAACCCCAGGCCAAGGTCGCTGTCCGGTGAGATCCTTTGACCGGATGGGTCTTGGGACCGCAATTGAAGAGGAAAGGCTGCTGGAAAGTGGCTGGCGACGCTTTTAGGGCCAACGTTGGCACTTCAGTTCACACACCCTGGCCCTTCTGACAAATGAAAGGGAAAACGGTTGTGAGAGGAGGCTACATTTTCCCGAAGCCCTAGAGAGGGGTTGTTCTGAGGAAACTTTGATACAGATCGCTATGAACACACACCATTCTCCAAGGCAACATCAGGGCCTGCGTTCTTCCATTAGCTTAAACAGGGAAGCATCTATCTGACTCTAGCTACTGCCTGTCCTGTACCAGGGATGCATTATTTATCTCCCTATGTTATTTTCACAGATTTCTGGAGAGAGCGGGGCAAAGTAAAGGAATAATAATAATAATAATAAAAGAGAGCGCCTCGTACAACCCTCTCCCTCCCTCCCTCCCTCCCTCTGTCTGTGCCCCACGTTACTTTGATTGACAGCTCAGCCTCTCCACTCTCCTTCTCCCCGACCTTCCCATTCTGCCTGCCTGTCTGAGCGTTCCGCCGCCTCCCATTGGCTCGCTTAGCGGGGTCCTGCAGCTCAGCTAGAAAGGCTTCCTAGCAAAGGCGGGGAGAGAGAGAGAGAGAGAGAGAGAGAGGAGAGGAGGGGATGCTTGACAGCACGGGCTCCCATTGGTTCGATGTCACGGCCCCACGTTGGTTCCCAAGCAGGCGATTGGCCCCGTGCCCTTCCCCGTCCTGTCTCGGGGCGGGGCCAAGGGGCTGGTTAGCTCGAGGAGTGTGAAACCGCGTGTTAATGTAACCAGCGCGGGCGGATACATTGTGTCCCGTTTATTGAGATCCTGCCGCCGCCGAGCTGGGTTCTGTGTCCCGCGGAGTTTTTCTGATTTTTCTTGTCTCCATGGAGGGAAAACCTTTGTGATATCTTTTGGGGAGGAGAGGCGGAGAAGAGGAGGAGATCGCCTTCTCTCCCTCCCCCCTTTCGGCCGCCCTGGGATGTTTCCTCGAGAGATCCTGGCAAGAACTTTGCTCCGGGATTGAGCAAGACGGACAGACGGAAAGACGGCGGAGGGCAGACAAGAGGGCCGCCAGAAGCCCGCCTGCGATGCTGCTGTTCCAAAAGCGCGCTTTCCTGTCGGGGCTGTAGCGTGGAGAGCGCTTCGTGCGGTCCGGAGCGCGGCGGGCCTACGGAGGCAGCCCGGGGGTGACGATCCGCGGCGGACGCCCTTTTGCTTTTGTGCCCCATCGGGGGTGGGGTGGGTTGGTTCGGGGAGCGGGGGGGCATCGGCGGCGGAAAGAGTCCTAAGTGCGCGTGTGCGTGTGTTGCGCGCGCGCCCGTGGCCACGCGGGGGTGGGGGTGGCTTCTCTTTTGCAACTCTCCGGAGGGGGTGGATTTCCCCTCTTGCCGAAGTCGGGTTGCTTGGAGCGCAAGATCCTGCGATTTCCTGCCCCGGGTCCCGTGCGTGACCTGGCCTTGATTCCCCCCCTCCTCGTCCTTCTCGGGGCTGGGGAGCAAGGCGGCCTTTGGTACCGGGTCTCCTTGCTTGGGAGACGTCCGAAGCCCTTCGTCGGGCGGGACACTTGACTTAGTTGGATTTCACCCCCTGCCCGGTCGGATCGAATCCGAAAGGACGACCGAACGAAAGGAGATCGCCGCCGCCGCCGCCGCCGCCTTTCTGAGCTTACAAGTGCATCGCACAAGTTATTCAACCGGCCGCGGAAAGGGAGAAATTTTTCTTCTTTGAAATATATATAAATCAATCTCGTAAGTCCGAAGGGAGCCGCACCGGCAACAACGGCGACGACAAAGGAGGACCCAGGCCAGCCCGCCCGACCGGCTCCGGCTCCCCCTCGCCCAGCTCCCCCGGCGACTTTTCCCCCCCTTTTTCCTCCACCTCCAAAGCGAACAACAAAGGAAGCCTTGGCTGGGCTCGGGCTGGGAGAAGGCGGCGGGGCGGGGAGGCGGAGGATGATGGTGATGATGATGATGATCCTGCAGCTGAGCCGAGAGGCTGATTAGTGTGCAGCCCCGCTCCTCTCCGGCC